GACAGCTAACCTCGTTCCATTGCATAAGGGAAGCAGCAAGATGACAGCAAGCAGCTTTCGACCTATTAACTTAACTTGCCTCCCTTGCAAAACGATGGAAGCTGTAGTAAAGAACGCTATACAGCAATTTTGTGAATAAAATAACATCTTGCAGGATTTTCAACATTGCTTCCGTAGAGGACGTTCCTGCCTCTCAAATCTGCTAGCTTGTCTGGAGATCTGGACCAGGGCTCTAGAAGAGGGTTTTGAGGTCGATGTCGTATACATCGATTTCCGCAAGGCCTTTTGACACTGTCCCGCACCAACGTCTTCTTCACAAATTGAGCCAAATCGGCATCCGGAAGGATCTTCTGAACTGGATTAGGGCGTTTCTGGTTGGTCGGAAACAACGTGTCTGTATCGGGGATGATATGTCAGAATGGGTGAACGTGACCAGTGGTGTGCCGCAAGGCTCAGTTCTGGGACCATTGCTCATCATCCTTTACGTTAACGACAGTCTTCAGGAACTCGACTGCGGCAAAATAATGTTTGCAGACGATGTTAAGCTCTGGCAAGTCATTAAGGGTCCGGATGATCATAGATCCCTTCAAGATTATCTGCACCGACTGCAAGCGAGGTCGAAGAACTGGCTTCTAGATTTCAATGTGGAGAAGTATGCCGTCCTTCATCTGCGTCCAAACAACTCTCTTTCAAATGAGAGTCTGAGGAAATATCACCTAAAACATATAAGGCTCCGCGCAGAAGCTTCACAGAAGGATCTCGGGGTTTGGATACAGAACAACCTGAAATCAACACTGCAGTGCCACAAGGCTGCAAAAAACGCCATGGGAGTGCTGCATGCAATAAAAGGGGCTTCCGTAAACTTTGACCAAGACCTCTTTGGGAGAGTTAACGGCACATTTGTTCGGCCCCACTTCGAATATTTCATACAAGCATGGCGGCCATGGCTAGTAAAGGACCAAGCCTGCCTCGAACGAGTGCAACGGCGTGCAGCAAAGCTGGTAAACGGTCTAAAAAGCCATTCCTACACAGACAGACTGAATTGCCCTAATTTATTCCCTCTGTGTTACAGGCAACAAATAGGTGATTTTATCTACAAGATAATACATGGCCTTGAGTATGGACTTAAATTTGAGGACATGTTTCAGCGGCACCTTTCACCCAATCTTCGTGGTCACTCGATGAAGTTACGGACAACAATGTACAGGCTGAATCTTCGTTCTGAATTTTTCACACAGAGGGTAGTGGAGAAATGGAACGATCTCCCTCAGTCAGTCGTTGAGCCTACGTCTCTGCAACTCTTCAAGAAACTCTTGGATGATTGCTTGTGTCCCCTGTTTTCCCTCGACAGTCTGAATCTGAACTAAGATCCCACGTCCCAACAAATATTTTCTCTGGTACAATCCTACTCAAATGAATTAAGTACTGTTTTAATAGTGCATTTTTTTGTTCGTGTACAGTAATTTCTGACGATCTGACATGTAATCAATAGGATTTTCAAAGGTCTTGTTTATTATCCTTACCAAATAAACGGTAATAAACTGACAACACGGATTGGTTTGGACAACTTTAACTTCCGAGTAAGTGTGTAAACAAAGGCTCTGCTAGCAGTGGCCGGGATCGGTCTTTCCAGGCCAAGCTGTGTTCCCTGTGTCTGCCGGCGAGGTTTTCCCTCCCGATCGCGGGTCTGCGACTTTCGCGCTGTCTCGATGGCCGCCAGTTTATCAGAGAAGTGCAGCGCTGATTGGCCTTGGGTTCTTTCGAGTCTAGTTACAAGCTGTAGCAGCTGGAGGTCTGACCATAGTTCCAACCTTGATTATCTTAGTTGACACTCGCATTAGATGGCATTCACGCGTCTTCTTTTTGCAGGAACTGTGTCTCCGAGGTCGAGCGTGGACGAGTAACCACCATCATCCACAGATAAACCGTACTGCCGCTCTCTTAGATCTACCGTTATCTGCCATGTAGCAGTCCGGCATTTTGCAGTTAACAATAAATTTATATCATCATTATTTGTCCTGCCCCGTACGATGTCTCGTATGCCGTACCACCCGATACCTCACGAAATGGGACACAAAGGCTTCCAGACAAAATTTTAAAAACAGCGGGCCTATCCGAGTTTAGGCTGCCATCTACACCTTCTAATGTCATTCGTGATCCGACGTCGCCGCCTCGGTTGGCTGCTAAAAAGCCTCTCGCAACCTTGTAGCAAATCAAAAGGGAGTATTGTGTGTACATGAGGGTGGCGTGGCAAAGCAGCGGAGGTCAAGTAGGCGCGGATTAACAAAAATATGACTCGTTTTCCGCATTATCATTTTCCTTTGATGACTGTCGATCTGAACTATGGTTTAGGTACTTTTGTTTTGTTCCACCACCCTTGGCTACAGGGGTTGCCTGGCTGCTAGGCGTAACGTTCGCGATCACATTGAAGATTTCTGGCAATCACTGCAGCAGTTGGGGATGAAAGCATGCAACTTGTTCGTAAGTCCAGAACCTTGGCCCACATGCGTTATAATCAAGACAGATACTTAACGCCGTATAACTACCGGGACTTTTAGCCTGCACCTAGAACATGACAGTTTATGCCTCCATTAACTCTCAGCACCTTATATACCAGCTTTCACACCAGTAAGTTGCCAAGTCTTATGGGACAAAACGATCCCTTACAAAGGACAAAGAGCTTTTCCAGAGTTAAATTACATAAAATTAAGGTTTTAGCTTCTGGACCTATCATTTTCGGAACACGAGCATTCCTTAGTGTTTTACAAACTCAAACTAATTCTAATTCTTGGTGTTCTAGTTGCGTCCTTGTCGGAACCGTACACAGTGGGCTTGGTCCCATTTAGCCCACTGCTAAGATGTATAACGTTCAGAAGGTTCTATCTCTTGACTCTAGTCCATTAATGCGTCTCGAGAAGAGACTAAATTCTCTCAGAAACACTCACGAGACTGCCCTTTTACGGAATACCGCAATGGAAATAAAGAACGTCAATGTTAACAGAATCCTGATGGACAGCTTAATGCTGCGCTTGCATTCTGTGGATTCGAAATCGAAAAAGAACAAGCGTATCGCTAGTCGTGGAAAGCTCAGTTCTCCGAAGGTTCGTTTTCACTTTTTTGTCTATCCCGGATTTTTAAGAAAGTGCGACTGAGCAGAACTCAAGATGTTTTTGGAAGTAAGTGCACTCCACTCCCAACATGTCCTCCCAAGTTTCATACGATGAAACCGACCGATATTCATACGCTTAAAAATATTCGGGGACCGCCCTCATTCGATACATCAGAAATCGTAACAATTCTTGACAAAGAGAGCTATGGAGTGCGCAGCAAGCCGCCGAGGATCGAGCCTGTTTTCCCACCGCCCCCAGATGATGCTGCTGCAGCGCCAGCACCTGTTTCCGTCTATCACCAGGAATCCAATCTACCGTCTAACTTAATGCCTCGGAGCAATCTGAAAATGCAGAAACAGACTTCACCCCCAACTCTTGCTGTTTCCGCATCTGGGCATCTTGGGAAATTTTCCCCAACGTGTACTCTTCCTAGGCAGCTCTCAACATATCAGCCACCATTATGCCAATCAAGTAGGCAGGTCCCCTCTTCACAGGTCCCGCAAAACGTCTATCCTTACCAGGATTTTCGTACTAAATACGACCAGAACTGCTATCCGAATATCCAGTTGGGTTACGACCCTTTCGCCCCTCAGCATTTTTGCCCTGGATATCAGGAGTTCAATCAGTATCCCAGGAGTTCTGATCAGTCCGGTTGGGATTCAGTTTGTAAATACGGTTCGGTTGCCGATGAATCAAGTCGGACAGTCTCAAACATAGCTGCCTCCACAAGTGAGGCTGACGGCAACTTCCGTGTTTATCCTAATGTAAACCCCCTACGGCCCGAAATGTCCGCACCTTTTCATACCTCCCCTTTTATACAAGATGCGCCGACGTATAGCATGTCTGTTGGATCTCATAATACCCCTTATGGCGTTTCTCAGCATAATTACGCTTATCCACAAGTGCCTTTAACTGCAACTCCAGTCGTGACATCTTCGTATGTTCAACCGTCATAGGTTGGCAATGTACACTCCCTCCATAGCGCCGAATTGAAACTTATTTTTCGCGTCTCTTAACTGAACATCCCTAACGCTGGCGTAACCTGCGTTCCTTATGCTTTTGCTTGGTTTTCTCGACTTGACTTGCTATCACCTCCCCCACCACAGTTACTTTAAGATTTAAAGTCGTTTTTATCATCTTACTTCTCTGCGACCATCGGTGTGTACTTAATAAATTATGCGTCACCTATTCATTGCGCGAAATAGCAGTCTCTACTCAAACATGTCTTTGGACCCAACGACGGATTCAGCAGACCAATAACATAGTTTTCAGTCAGTCTGGCCAGCCATCCTTTCGGGGCAAATTTTTAAGCACAGTGACAATTTGCTTGTGTTCTGGAGAGGTCTAGCACACCGACCGTCTTATAAAGTGCTGTGAAACGACGTCTTTGTGACGACTGCAAATTGCCATTAGATATGTTTGCGTACCACCCCTGCTTTGTGGTTATGTTCTTGAGCCCAAGCGACGTGGGCGACAACAACAAACAGGCCATCCGAGCGGCTGTTGAGAACCGGCCTGTCTTTCAAAGTTCATCGGAAGCCCGATTTAACACATCTATACTACGACGCTTGCAGGGACCGATGCACTCCCTAATCCCTGTTCACTTGTGCTGGCGAGGTGGACAACCAAGTCGGGAGTGGACATTTGTTGCTGGATTCTCGAACGTGCGAACGCTCACTGGTCCGGCCAGCCAAAGTCTGACAATGCGCACTCTTCATCTATGCAACTGGATATCCATTATCTGCCCGAAGTCCAAGTCCACGACTCAGACTCGCGTAAAATCCAGATTCCGCCGGCTAACTCCCACTGCACCCAATGGCTGCCTACGCGACTCTTCAAGTAGACACAATGTGAAAATCGTCCTCGTAACGAGCAAGTCATGCACTGCTTGCGTGGAAATCAGTCGTCGACCGTTTGGATTGTGGGCGACTGAAGGGACACCCTACTAACGTATCTGTCGTCTGCGTGTGCGCACCAACGTCAGCTGCCTACTGACCCGATAATAAACCTCGCAGTTGGTTGTGGGATTCTCTTCCCGTCACCTGCCTGATGTTGCTGGGGACCAGAATAACTGCTGAACCAGTCGCCTATTCAAAGTCACCTAATTGACCGTTCTGGACTCGGTTCTCTATTGAACAGTGGTATGAGGGTGTTAAGATTTCCTTAGCATGACTGACTAGTGAAAACGGACTTCCTGTGCCGCCGCAAACATCTAACAAGGTATCCAAACAATGGTCATACGGCCAGCCAGGTGGACATTCTACTTCGTTTAAGAATCTGCATTTGGGTTCATGATAGCAGGTCGTGCGTAGTGTCGCTAATGATAGTACCTGTTGATCAGACTATGTTTTCGCTCTATACGCTTGAGAGTTGGCCTGTTATCCACACCTGAATTGTTATATGCGAGGCTCTTAGGTGTCGCAAAACTACGGAAATCCAGCGCAATTGAACTTCTTAGCACAGAAATCCTGTCTCGCTTTACGACCCGAATCGAGGTAGATTACAGTAACCGGTCATAATTGAAGCCCTCAGTCCTCGAGACAGTTAAGAGAATGCTCAGATCCGCCCAACCAAGGTGCAGAGACTGGGTTGGCGAACTACTGCGAACCACGTCCTACAATCTACGGCTATACTTTCGTCCGAGTGGCATTCCGTCTTCGAACTCATCCGGACACCTCACCATGTTTAGCTTAACGTGACCTACTTGACTCACTTAACCATCATGGCAGCGGCTCCAACTCACGCAGGGTTTCTGAGAGCTGGAATTGCAGATGAGTTCACTTTTAGGTCGGCGGGGCATGAATAAGTCGTCATAGACTAGTACCTTTTGTGTACTCACCAACAGTGGATGTCTGTGTGGCTATCTGTGATAGAACTCGTCATTTGAGAGTTGTCCGCAGGTTGAAAGCACTCCGTTCTCCGGGTGGAATCCGATGCCGCACACCTTAATCTGCAGCTCATAGATGACAAGCTTTGAAGCCGTTGAATTAAGCGACTTTGTTAATAGCTCCATGCACTTAGACCTCTTGTCTTCCTTTGAACTGGATAGTTCGATCATGACAGGCGGCGAGGTCTACCTCTTGCCCCATGGGGTGCATGCAGAACTGCGATATGCGCGTGAATTAATTTATAACTAGACGGACTTTCGATGCATCTACCTTAGTTTTCCCTCCAGTGTCCACCGTGCTTCGATGAGGGGACAGAGTCAAGACGGCTGGAGGTGAGCATAAACGCACTGGATGATGAAACTGACCTGCCCGTCTACGTCTGTCACGCGTAGCATGGCCAACAACTCGGCTTTACCAGATCACATCCGGGCGATATCGGGTTTCGCATAGATATGAATATAATAGAAGTTACATTTGGAAGGGGCCATTGCAACCGGACCCCAAGCCGTAGGTAGGGTCGACTGGCTTCGGCGGTTAACGGACTTCTAAACTGCGGCTCTTAGAGCAGATTGATGGATTTGGTCACGTCAGGTTCGCTATGGTGAGGCGTGCGCCCATCTTTCATGGAGGTGAACTCATCGGCCCCTGTCTCACTCTCTCTTGACTCTCTCACACCTAAGTGGCTTGCCAGGGTCGGGCCGACCGGGCATGAGAGTGCGCGTGATGATTGACGAAGCTAAGCGGCCGCGTGCTTCCGGCCGCACTCGGTGGCCCCAAGGGGGTAATGCATAGCTAAGGGAGGTTTACATGTGCCTGTGCCACCCCCCCCCTCTAGTATCCTGTGGGGGGCAGATGAGATGAGAACTGTTCATTTTCCTTGCTCCACTTTTTTAAACTGTCTATGCCTCAGCACCGTATAAGAGCGTAGTCAGGACAGCAGACCTGCACACCCGCAGTTTCGTCTTGAGGAGGATACCATGACGGCTCCGGACGGAATTCTGTAGCCGGCCGAAGGCCTAACAGGCCTTGAAGACCTGATTTTCGATTTCTTCGTCGATCTTTATGTCATTGGAAATTGTAATCCCTATGTAGGCAATTTTGTCCGCGAGGGTAAGACGATTTCCATAGGTACTGCCCTACCTCACCGGTTTGTCAGTTCAGAGGGCTACGAAAGTAGCCCATGTCCGTGACGCGTAGTATCCTCCCGTCGTGCACTTGCCTTACGCTTTGTTTAAATGACTCCTGGCATCCGAATTTCAGCATTATTTTTCAGGTTCCGCCGCAGATTACGCTATATAAAACACTTGGCGGATTTATGAGGGCAGGGCAGAGACTAGTCCGTGCTTCCTGACTTTCCCTGCGGTCGGAGAGTCACGAGAGCCCATCCGTGTTTCCACGACGTTTTAAAGATTCACACAGCGTTCCTGGAAGAAGTCACTGCTCCAGGTGTTTGCTAAGGCGAGTAAGTGGAACTCGGGCGAAGATTTTGTTTGAAATATCGAAAAGGGAGATTCATTCGTGGTTAACACTTAGTTGTCGGTTTACCCTGTTTTTGAATCTTTGGACTATGGCGGCGTCCTTGAAGTCCTGAGGAATTGGTCTCTGTATCCTCATCCACCGGAACAATGAAATAAGCGGTTCCTGTAGTTGTGGGCCGCTGTATTCGCAAATTATGATTGAAATTGCGTGAATTCCCGGGGCTTTTCTGTTAGACAGCCATTGCACCGCTCGGATTGTTTCTCGGAAGGAAGGGGGAAAGTCGAGGTCGTCTTTGGTGTCCATTTGAGGAAGTCGGATAAAGGCTTCTCAGATTGTGGATGGGTGGTTGAGGACACGGAAATTGTTTTGTCTATCGCTCCAGGATCTGAAGCTTCTCCGTCACTATGGTTTCTCCATCCTCGTAGAGCTGTATCGTAGCTCCGTGTCATGCAGACTGTGGACTGCTTTGCTGTTTACGATTGACTTTTTCCACTTACCGCTGTCAGTGTGTCCTTTGACTTCTACAGCTTCGCGATTTAACAAATTCGGTTATCACTCCCGTAGACTCCGCTGTACAAGCTCTTGGCATCGGATGCACGTGACTATATGACATTCATCCTGTTGTTGGCATAGGTCGTTAGGCTGTTTTCTTATAAGGCAGGCTAACCGGTCTTGGTTCTCTCCACATGTAGCGCTCGGGATCTCCAGAACAGCGGGCACTTTCTTCCCATAACTGGCATTTTTTCCAGCAAAAGCTTAATGCGATTGCTAAAGTTCCGGCGATGCTCAGCCGTATCAAATAATGCATCCTTTGCATTACCTGGTGTTTGCTTGTCCTGCGACTGTCTGCGGAGTTGCTTACATCTCCGGACAATGACCTAGTCCAGCCGTTGCCGGTGTCGTGAGGGTGAATTCAGGCTGTTTTCTCCCGGATAGAAATGTTGACGAAGGTCGCGAAGAAGGAGACATGAGCGTTGGAACAAGAGCTTTATAAGCCTGACATTCCGGATTCCCGCTCGAATCCATCGTCAAGGACAGAGTCAGATAAGGGTGGTGAATTGCCCAGGTGTTGCAGTACCTATAGGATGTAGTTGCTAGGCTACTAAATGCCTATCGCAGTTGGCAGCCCCGAAGTGCACCACGGTTCGACTGGCCAAGTGTTGAAGCATGCAGTTGTCGTGCAATTGCAATGCACGGAGGATGGACTCGAATGAGAATCCTAAACCTCAGGCTAATAAAGCTCTTGTTCCACCGATCGTGTCTCCTTCTTCGCGACTACTTCCTGGAACTCGCCTCTTCGCTTCTATAAGTTGACGAAGGTACAGGTGAAGAGAAAAGTGTGTTCTGTGCAGACGTACAGTCGAAGGCCTGTAGAAACTACCCATCCCGTGGCGACTTAGCGTCCACACCCCTTTAGCGCAGTCTGTACTTTTGCAGACATCGACGTCACCAAGGACAATCAGTATGACCTCCTTCGGCACAGTCACGAGGATAGCGTACAGGTCGCCGTAAAATTTGTGCTTCGTGTCATTCGGGTTTACTACTAGAGGAGTTTAGACGCTCAAGAGGATGGAAAATAGGATCCAGCGGAGTGGCAACATCATGGACACGAGACGGTCGTTGATCTCCCTGCGCGAGACAAGTCAGCCGTCCCATCATCGCAGTCTTGACGGCAAAATAGACTCAGGTCTGCTATCGTTTTGTCTTTGGACGTCTGCTTCAATAAAAAGTGGACTCAGCTTTCAGTTGTCCTTGTTCGGGGAAGCGGATATAACCGAACGTTTTGACGTCCACTTTCTAGCGAGCCTACTCGTTGGTGCTCAGGCCTGTTCTCTTTCTCGTTTGGTTGACTTGTAGCTTTCCTAAATCCGAACAAACAGTCCGGGCTGGCCGCGTGAATAATGCTACGCTGGGAGATTTCGCGGAGGCATGGGGATGGTTGTCGTCAATTCGCATGTTGTTTCGAATGCCTGTCTTGCATCCACAAGCCGCGACCTTCTTCTCGAAGGCTGTTGTTCTCACACACGCCCTCGTACCAGTGTTTTTTATCGGCCACTTGCTGATTCTCACCCGTTCACCGTCTACGTATTATAACTTCGGCTCTTTAACTGAAACTGTCTCTTTTTAAACAGTTTGGACCAATTTTCTGAACAGGCGAGTGCGTACAACAATTCCCTTCTAGGTATTAGGATTAAATTAATGCCACCCAGTATATAAAGGTGATTTTCGGTGATATCGCTATGTGATTAACATTTGCGGTGCTCTTAACTTAATTTAGTCACCCAAGTGCAAATTAAATCGTGAACTTTGAAGACGTTGTTGCACAAAGTTGCGTTCTCTCTCCCTCTCGATAAAAAGAAAAATGCGAGTTGTACTACCTCCTTTCGCTCCAGAAGTCTAACAAGACTTTACTAGAGCGCAGGATTTTGAAGGTGAGAACTCTGTATTACTTGACGGACATTTCCGGCTCTTCCTCTGCCAATGAAAGAAAACATACGACCAATCGGCAACACGTGTTCGCTTTTGTTAACATCTAACCACCGAACGGAATTAGCTAGTAAAGTTGGTGATCGTTACACAGTCTCCTCTTTCATTTGCGTGCGGCAGTTTAGATTTGTGAGCGAGCGCAGGAGAGTTGTCAAAGGCACTCGCCTTGCACGTTGGCTCTAATGAATATCACGCAGTCGACCATATCCCTGCCAGTTACAATTCGAACAGTTGTCAGCCAGATCAGCTACATCCTCGACCACTCGAATAATAAATATAAATTTGCATTCTCGAGAGGGAGCATTCTGAGATATTCCCGTCAAACAATTTCTCGGAATCGAAAGCATAATGGCGAATTTCAGCATGAAATCGTTCCAATTGTGAAGCACAGACAGATCAAGCTGCCTGTCAATAACATCGGGTGACAAATGGCTATTAATGCTATTAATTGAGCCACGCCCAGGTAGAGAGGCCGAAATCTTCCGCCGACCTGGGACTTTTTCGCGTCTTATCTCAAGGTATGTTGAAATTAGTTAAAATTTTGTACAGATTTGATGTCCGAAGTCCAGCGAGAGATTACCGATGTAAAGACAATTTACGGTTAGGGACAGTTTTAATCCAATAAATGCAAATTGCAGAGTGCGACTAGTAGTCAATCGATACAGTCTGGCAAAACTCAAAAGGGAAATGGCAACCGATAATTCTAAAAGAATAAGCCTGTATTTACAAAACTTTGTCCAAAAAAACAATGGCTAAAAGCCCGTGTGTCTTTTAGAAAAGTCTCTTTAAAAATATCTTCCACTCATTTTCAAATTTGAAGCCAGGGGCTTGAATTCACGGCCAAAGTTCAAAGATTTATTTTAACTACATCGCCTGGGGGGTTTCTGGAGCAACTGCGGTAGCGTGACGCATCAACGTATCCTTCAGCTTCCTGGTTTCGTTTCCTGCTGGGCATCTAAATTAGAGATTGCACTTTTAAATTTTTCACTATCAAAAGCTAAAGTGGGAAGAGTTCGTTGAAACTAGGACTCGGTAACGGAGTTCATGTTTTCGATTTCATGATTCTCGGCCTTTAGACATATAGATATAGGACTAAGGACGCGCACGAGCATGCTTTAGTGATAAAGCGAAAGGACGTAAGAGCGCATATCGCCATGCACAACATGGAAAATAGTAAGCATTTCGACCTTGGACGATGCCCAAATGCTCGGTCGAGCGGAAAGCAAATCGATGAGAGAGATATTCGTAGACCTTTATCTGCGAATGTCTCTGATGATGGATTCGAGGGAGAATCCGAAACGTCAGGCAAATAAATTTCTTGTTCCAGTGATCGCATCTTCATCTTCTATTCGTAGTTTGATGACCGGATATCAGTTCGATCAGCCGTAGCGTCGACTTGCCAGCGCCATACGAGGCCGTCAGGGACCAGTTATGCACGAGAGAAGGGCCAATGAGAAGCGAGAGTGGTCGACCTATCAGGCCTGAGCATAAAAGATCTATCTTTGTCTGATTCCGATGATGATGATGATGAGGAGGAGGAGGAGGATGATGATGATGATGATGATGGTGGTGGTGGTGGTGGTGGTGGTGGTGATGATGATGATGATGATGATGATGATGATGATGATGATGATGATGATGATGATGATGATGATGATGATGATGATGATGATGATGATGATGATGATGATGATGATGATGATGATGATGATGATGATTAAACCATCTTCCTCAGAGATCGCCTTACCTTCTCCTTCCATCCCAACACCAATTTTCGCCGAAAACTACGTATATACATATATATAATTTGCCATCAATGTCAACGGAAACTGTAATAGGCCATTTCAGCATGCCTTGTCTTTGCCGATAATGTCATTCTGCATATGTATGTGGGGGTCTTCCTCCTAGGTATGCAATCATGGTGAAAACGAGGTTTTGGAATATTGAGGAAAAGTTGGGCTGGATTTTCAATGGATTGCTTTCGTTATCAACAATCCTTACCCCTAATCCAGGGCACTAGTTCTTTTAGTCATGAGGTGAACACCCCACCACCAAGACAAGGACAACCAGGAATATACACATAGTATGGAAGACAATCTACTCAACCATTATCACAGGAGAGACTATAAAATTCCATTTTTGCCTTGGAATTTCGAAATGGAGCCCATTTCGCCTACCGACTGTCTGTCATCGTTTGAATACTTAAGAGGGATCTAAAATGGAGACCAGAACTCAACCGAAACCCTTACTTTCCGTCCTCCAATAAGAATAACCCAGTTAAGGACACACTTTTCTGGCTTGAAGAGATTTACGATTCAACCCCAGCGCTGTCTGATTTTTTCGGCATACAAAGCTTCGCAGAATTAGTCGCGTTGGCGGCAGCAGACTGGATGTCCTTTAGTGCGCGATGTCTGAAACCTGCCATCCACCCCCTGCTGCCAGCGCGGTTAACCGGAACAAAGACAGCGTAGTCTCAGCCGTCTACCCGCAGAAATTTAGCACGTTCACTTTCCTGCATTTAGGCGGATGCTACAGCAACGCGCTTCCGCAAAAAGCTCGTTGGCGGGACCGCAGCGTCGAGTTGTGTGCACGTGTGTGTGGGCGTGTGTGTGTGCATTCTTGTGTGCAGATACCAACGGGCTTGTGGAAGTGGTCTTGTAGGGTGCTGGATGCCCTTATTGCATGACCTTATCGCCTGGAACTCTGGCCACAATGTGCCCCAAAAAAGTTGTGTCTGTTTCCTAATCAGCGCGGAGGAAATAGAGCTGGGAAGGGCTTAAATGGGAAGGCGACTTTACTTGATGGCGGCTTCATCAAACGAACCCCTGGAAACTACATTTTCGCGCAGAGAAATGCTTGATATTACAGGTACACTAGAGGACTTCCGAAAGCGCGTTCTGTAATCCTCCTTTCGCACTGCCTTTTTAAAGCCTCCACAAGAGCCTCGAAAAATGTAAATTCCGGACTAACAGCTGTTAGTTGTGAGGTGACTAAATTTGGTTCACTGTAGGAGGACCCATCACCGTGGCAAGACAAGCGATTCACAGATTTTGGGCCGCTGTATGACTCAGCGGCAATGGCCTTGCTTTATCAGTGTGGCTCTCGGCGTTCCCAATGTGTTTCCTCCTGCATACTCCATTTTTTAGAATTTCAGTTTTTTGATCTCCTCCGAAATGCATACGTTAACTTGGACTGAATCTTTCGGAATGAAATTCCATAGGCTACGTTCGAGAAGTAAGATGAACATTTCTGCGGGAATCCATCAGCTTCATTGGGCCTGCTATTTACTATTCACAAGCTGACAAGATGTAGTGCGGTAAAGTTTGACCCACACTCGAGCAGAAATTTATGAGGAAATTAAAAAGGTCAATATGGCGTTTAGTTTTGAGGCTGCAAGCGTAGGTTGCTTTTAAAATAAAAAAAAAACAGTTGGTTCACTTTTCAGAATTCAAGGTGTCCTTACCCCTGGAAAACTAAAGGGGATATGATCTCAATTGGTAGCTGTGCTGCCAGTATGGTGAGTCATTCAAAATTTGTTTACTACTGATTGCCTCTCGACAGGTTGCGAATATTACGCGGTTACGCCGCTGAAGCTGATGAATTTCAGCCCAATGCTTATATTGACTTTCAGACTGAGGCTGAGGAGACTTGTTCCGAAGGATTTACTCCACGTCCCGCTCACCGGTTTTCGAGAAAATGTAAAAATTCATTTTGACCCGGCGACTTCGGTGGGATTTGAATCCGCGACAGCACGCGGAAGGTTTTAGCACAGTCAACGCTCCAGCCGCCGGAGCTACGAGGCCCAGCCAGGTACGAATCACACCAGGGTTGCCGAGTTTTTCACAGCCGAGTCAAAACGAATTATTCAAAGTCTGCCAAAACACCTAGTAAATGTGAAAATGTTCAACGTTATTGTATTCTGGGTTCTGTGGAGGTGATAACAGGCGATAAACAGGAAAGATCCTTAACTCCCAGCATTTGAGTCTGGATAAACACAATTGCAAGAGTATTTAATGCATATTTCACGGCAGTTTTGTTAACTGGCGCGAGTATTAGTGGAGACGCAGTTCTCAAGGCTGTTTTGTAAGAAAGCAGCCCTTAGCCTGCAAACGTTTGTTACCAAATTAGTCTTTGCGGAGAAGGAGGCACGATCGGTGGAACAACTGCTTTATAAGCCTGACGTTTCGGATTCTCACTCGAATCCATCATCAGAGACAGGGTCAGAGTCAGTCCTGTAAGTATGTACTTCAAACATTCATCTTGAGATATCCGAGGACTCTGCAAACAGCAAGTGTTATAAAGCCTGCAGGTCGCGGACTCTATACTGTCCGCCTGATGAACGTAGATGACATTACGGCCGAAAACAACATCGCCTATCTTCATACATGTCAGCATCGACAAGAAGCCAGCCAAAGTGTCGCACACCTTGTCTGGCTTTGTCTCGGGTCAAGGCCCTTGCCGGGTGGCAACTTACGGCCACGTATTCAATCAAAGTCTCGATGTGGTGGCTGGTTTGAAGGGCTTTTGGCAGCCTAGTGCTCTACAACTGTTCCGTCTGTTGTCGTCACCTCGGGGTTTGCCGCTTATGCAGCATCGAGGTTTGAGGCAGACTGGGTTGAGGGTCACGAAGTTCCAACTTGTGACCTCGGCTGCGGACAGCACACCGACATTTGGTGTTTGTGCGTCATTCGCTATGTTTCTGCCTGTCTCCCGTCTTTTCGCAGTTGCACTAGGATTCACGCATTGCAAGTACGGTACGTGGGCTAACTTCATTAAATGTCAAATGGAATTCAGAAATGCGTTTTCGTTTCGAAAAGACTAATTATTCATCATGCAGCGTAACTCGCGTCATCAGGTGGGGCCTCGTAGCTCAGATGGTTAGTGTTGACTGTACTAAAGCCGCCCCTTGCTGTCGTGGGTTCGAATCCACTGAGGCACCGAGATTTTCACAGTTGGGTCAAAGTGAATTCTATAATAATCCAGTTACCTAAGGATGCTGACTTTCGAACGAACTTCTTTCCGGCTGCATGCAAGAACTGTATTCTGTAAAAAATGACTAATTACTTAGCGTGTATTTTTCATTGATTTTCGAGGTCTCTAGAAACTCAATTATATTTTCTGAAAAACCTGCATAAAAATATTCATTATTTTGCTCATTCTGTAGAAAATTACGCCTTCTTCCAATTCCATACCCGAAGAAGGGGTATAATTCAATTTTTCAGAAACTTTTATGATTACCGTTTAATTTGGAACACGACCTGCCGCTGCACTTTCATTCAGGGTTCCCAAACTACAAGCCTTATATTTTCCGAGTATGAAAAACCATATATTTCTCCACGATATTCAAAAGAAAAAATATACGGGATTTATAAAATTAAACAGTGGATGTGAGCCATATGGTAAACTTTACAAGCCACATGGGTAAATGCATGGACACGACGTTTTATGAACGGCCATTTCATGGTATTAAAAAATCTCACAAACGAAGGCTATTTTCGAAACCGAATTACAGTCTTCCTTTAAGTATAAAATTGAAAGACGTCATTTTCTATCTAATGAGCAAGAGAATGAATATTTTATCCACGTTTTCCGTGAAATATAATTGAATTCTTAGGACATTGAAAACCAATGAAAAAATGCATGCTACTTAAGTAGCCATTTTTTACAGAGTATAGTTTTTCCATGCAGCCGGAAAGAAGTTCGTTCGAAAGCCAGCATCCTAAGGTAACTGAATTATTATAGAATTACGCTTCATGATGATCAGTTTTGCAGCCATGCTTAATTAATCTTTTCGAAACGAAACGCATTCCGGGATTCGGTTGACATTTCATGAATTAACCCACCTACTGTTTCAGACCTCTCAGTAGGCCAAAGCACTTTTGGGTCCAAACACTTGCTCTCGCAGGTTTGAAAAAAGCTGTATGGGTAACTGCCTATTCTCGGCTCCTACACATTTTTGATTAGTTGGTTTTAGGACTAGGTCCCTTCCAATAAACATTACCGGGTCATCCGTTGAGACTGAAAAACTCCTGAGTGGCAGCTAGTGTGTTGCAGGGAAATTCTGCCCAACAATGTTGGAGCGTGTGTTCGCAAGCCTTTGTCTTGCGGCGACAGGTTGCTCAGGGAATTCAAAGACAGACGAATTCGACAGTACCATGAAGACGGTGAGTTTCTGCACCCCTGATCCCGAAAACCTGCGGTCACTGACCTTCGTTAGGATACTGCTACTTAATGCATCGTCCGTATTCTTCGAGCCCTCTTGATCCCCTGTCTTCAAAATGAAATGATCCATGACATGAAAGGCGTCTTCTAGAACCAACCTGTAACCACGATACGGATTTTCTGTCTGCCACTATAACAGGGACATCGGGAATTTTGATAGCCTCTATACGACTTCTGCCGACTTTACAAAGACCATGCTCTATGTTGGGCCCTTAGTGAATTCTAAAATTTGTCATCCGAGTGGTTTGGTGGTTGTGTGCGCACACTTCGATGTTTTTTGAGTCAACCAGTCTCTAGGAAACCGGTATGGACGTTTATATGGCGGGAGACGAGTGGTAATAGCCTTAATAAACCAGGCAAAGCACGCGACTCACACCAATTATCGATGTCGACCATGAGAACGGGAAGACCTACAACGATGGCGGTGAAGAGCATGACTCACATGCAGCTAACATCGATGATCTAGGAAACAATTTTTAACCTCACCCGTAGGGCACAT